AAACTTTGTTCTTTTTCTAGACTCCCTTGGATATTCTTGGCTCCTTTGCATTTCCATATAAAATTTAGAATCAGCTTATTTCTACCCACCCCCCTTCAAAAAACCCTTCTGAAGCTTTTATGTAGTTTACACATAATAAAATGTGTAAATTTTAAGGGTACAATTCAATGAGTTTTGTCAAATGTATACACTCACATAATCAACACTCCAGTCAAGATATAGGACCAGTTCCATCACCCTAGGAAGTTCCATCATGTTTCTTTCCAGTAAATCCCCTTTTCTTCCCAGAGGCAACCTCTCTTGATTTCTATCACCATAAATTCATTTTGATTGTTCTCGGACTTTATATAAATGGGATCATAAAGTCTGAATTCTTTTGTGTTTGACGTCTTTTGCTCAACTCATTGTTTCTGATATTGGCTCCCGTTGCTGCCTGTATCCTTCATTCCTTCTTACCGTAGCACAGTGGCCATTGTATGACGATACCACAGTTCCTTATCCAGCCACCTGCTGACAGCCATTTGGGCTTCCCCATTTGGGGGCTCCTATGAATAAAGCAACTATGAACATTCTTGTATGAGTCTCTTTGTGGGCATCTGTTTTCATTTCTCACAGGCAAATACTGAGACATAGGATTGGGTGGCTGTATATTAAGTTTTATGAGAAATTGCTGAACAGTTTTCCAAAATGGTTGTATCATTTTACACTCCTACTAACAAGGTATGAGAGTTCTAGTGGTTCTGTATATGCACCAACACTTGGTGTGGTCAGTCTCTAGCCATTCTAAAGGTAGGAAGTATTTTTTTCATTGTGATTTTAATTTGCATTCCCAGATGACTAATGATTCTGAGCACATTTTCATGTGCTTATTGATCATTTGTATATCTTCCTTCATGAAGTTTCTGTTCAAATCTTTCATCTTTATTGTTTGATGTTTTATTGTTGGTTGCCGGTGATACAGATATTCATTCCAGATACAGGTCCTCTGTCAGGTAAAGTTACCATGAAAAATTATCATGAATATTTTCTTCTAGGCTCTGCTTGCCTTTTCATTTTCTTAGTGATATCTTATGAAGAGCAAAAGGTTTTAATTTTGATAGATTACAATTAATTTTTCTTTTGTAGTTAGTTGGTGCTTTTTGTGTCATAAGAAATCTTTGCCTGACTTACGGTCAAAGAGATATTTTCCTATGAATGAAGCTTTATAACTTCACCTTTTATGTCTAGGTTTATGATCCATTTTGAATTACTTTTTGAGTATGGTTTGAGGTAGTCATTGAGGTTTTATTTTTCTAAATGAAATGTAGTTTTAATGCCATATGTTGAAAATACTGTTCTTTCCCTACTAAATTACCTTGGCACACTTTATTGAAAATCAGTTAACCATCTACATCTGGGCCCTTTTCTCTCTATATATATTTCTGGACTCTCCTCTGTCTACTATTTGTTTATATGCCAAAACTACATAATCTTATTTACTATAACTTCAAAGTAAATTTTGAAGGCAACTTCTTTTTCAAGTTTGTTTTGACTCTACTAGATTCTTTGCATTTCCAAATAAATTTTAAATTTAACTTGTCAGTTTCTAATAAAAAGTCTGCTAAGACGTTTTCCTGTTAATATTTTCATTGCAATTGTGTTGCCTCTATAGATAAGTCTTGGGAGAATTGACATCTTAACAATATTCAGTGTTCCATTCATCAACATCTGTCTCAACTTACGGCTTCTTTAATTTTTGTCAGCAGTGTTTTCTCATTTTTAATACAGAAATCTTACTTGCCCTTTGTTAAATTTATCCCTAAGTATTTTTTTTATCAACTTTATTGAGGTGTAGTCTACATATTATGAACTGTAACCATCTTGAGTGTAGAGATCAATGTGTTTCAATCAATTTATGTTTATTGACCTAATGGTAAACAGAATGGGTTTTAATTTTGTTTTCTAGTGTTTGTTGCTAGTATATAGAAATACAATTGTATTTGCATTTGGTTGTGATGTCACTTACTTAAAATTCGTTATTCTTGAAGAGTTCATAGCCTCCTTTTTCTCTATATTATTGGCTTAAGAGACCAGTCCAGACCACTGTATGTACAAATAAATTAGAATAAAAATTCATATCCTTGGTCACACTGACTGTGTTGTGGCTGCTCAGTAGCCACATGTGTCTAGTGGCTGCTGGATTGGACAGCCCAGCTCTTCATCATTGCAGAAAGTTGTATCCAAAAGCACTGTGTGGAGTGATGGGGTGGCCCCACCTTGGGAGTTACCTCACTGTTTACTCATGGTGTTGTATAACCCGTTCTAACAATCTCTGTATTTACAGTAAATTGAAAGTTACATACCTATATTTAAAAGCTTAATTAAATGCAGATTACACTTTCATTTCAGGTCTACCTCATATGTGATGCTATGTGGTTTGTACTGCATTACAGAGAACTAAGAATTGACCACTAGCTTTTGCAACATTTTGGATATAGCTCCTGATCTTGTGTTGGGGACAAAAGCGTGATTTGAGGGGTGGTTTAAGAGAGAAGAGGAAGAGTGGAAGTGGTGACACTGAGTATAGAGCAGTCACTTTGTTCTGAAAGAAGCAGAGAAATGGCATGTTTGCAGGACGGGGATATGGGGCCACACGGGAGAGATCACAGCACGTTAATATGCTGATAGGAATGATTCACCTGAGAGGAAAAATCAGTGCGGGAGAGAGAGGGAGGATTATTGACACGCTGTCGTTCAGCGGGCAACCAAGAGCGGGTCTAGCAAGTGGAGGTGTAGGCCCTGGAGAGGGGCCCAGGTGTCTCCACCTACAGTGATGGGGGGGCAGGCTGAGCGTAAGCCACAGGAAGGGACGTGGGGCTTCTCTTCTGATTGATTCTATTGCTTTTTTTTTTTTACATCCAAGCATCCAAGATCATAGAGGCCCCTCACTGGATGGCCTTAGACTTAATGTGTTCTTCCATTTCACGTGTGTTTCTTATTCCTTTGCTGTCGTTTCCGTCTTCAGTTTGCCTCCTCTACAGCCTTCCTTCCTGCTCTACTTCTGACTTGCTCCTTTTATACCATATGTTCAAACATCCACAGCTCAGGCCATTAAATCGAAAGGAAAAAAAAGTCCCATTTAAGTTAACCCAAGTGGGAAGTAACAGAACATTGAAGTGGAGAGCAGCCTGGAACTTAGCTACTACAGGGACTTTGTCTCCCTGAAGGCGCCTTTGCATCTGCTCTTTTCTCCTTTCTCCACTGCTGGCTTCCTCTGCTCACTCAGTTTTTGCACCTTTGCGCCTCTGGCCTGCACATGGCCATGCTGGCCACTGACCTCAGTTTACATCCCTACCTTTGGCTTTGGCTTCAGCTGCAGAGACCTGATCTAGACCTGGACTGAAATCATGAGAAAAGGAATCTGGCCGCAGGGGATTTTCCTAAGGTTCTGACCCCCCACAGGATTGGTGGCCTGCTCAGGACTCACCAGCTGCAGCAGGAGAGTAGAGGCCTTCCACATAGAACACCGCTGCCTCCATGTGCTGTCTCATCCCTCAGGCTGAGCCAAGGCACTTCTTAGCCGGGGCACTGGGTGGGGAGGCACAGTGATTGGCATTTTCATTCATCAAGCTGTTTGGACTATTTGTAATACAGGAGAGAACAGAATCTAATTAAGTGAAGTGTACAAAGTTTATTTTATGGACTTTTTAACATCTATTTTAACTTTCTGCTTGTTTATTTTTTATTGGCTACATTCTATTTATCACAACAAACCCTCAGCAAATATTTGTAGAATGAATGACTTTCAAAATGTTAGGTAAGAACTGCCTCTTTTTTCTTAATTACATTGCAATTTTATTTTATATTTGCATTTTTGGTTCAAAAAGAAAATGGCTACAACTTCAGAAAGATCTGGGGACTTCCCTGGTGGCGCAGTGGTTAAGAATCCGCCTGGCAGTGCAGCGGACACGGGTTTGAGCCCTGGTCCCGGAAGATCCCACATGCCGCAGAGCAACTAAGCCCGTGCACCACAACTACTGAGTCTGTGCTCTACAGCCCACAAGCCACAACTGAGCCCACATGCCACAACTACTGAAGGCTGCGCACCTAGAACCCGTGCTCTGTAACAAGAGAAGCCACCGCAATGAGAAGCCCGCGCACCACAACAAAGAGTAGCCCCTGCTTGACGCAACCAGAGAAGGCCCGCGCACAGCAACAAAGACCCAACGCAGCCAAAGATAAATAAATAATATAAATTTATTTTAAAAAAAAGAAAAAGAAAGCTCTGTATATGGAAAAACAAGTCAGACTTTTGGCAGAATGCTGCCAGACAGATCAGAATTCAAACTTATTTACCTGTCCGAATTAACTAAAAGGGCAGACTTTGAGCCCTACTATTGGGATTTAAAGTTATTTTAGAATTTTAGAACTTCTTATTTAATATAAATATATTGAGAATATTTATATATTTAAGAACACTATTGTTCCCTTAAGCCCAAATGCACAATTGCTACAAATCTAATAAATATCTTGAGATTGGATGCAAATTCATTTGGGAGGCAAAATGTTTCCTCAATGCCAACATGTCCCTTTAATGTATTTGGATCCAGATGTTTCGGCCTTATTTGCTGGAGTGGATGCAGCATTAGACTGTCAGTTCCCTGTTTGCCATTATTTAGTATTAGAGGCTGTTAAGCATGCATACTCATTGGGAAAGTTGAAGAAAGGCTTTAAATTGAAAAAGGTACCAAGCTGTGGTCCTTGTCCAGACATCCTGAGGTTAAAAACAACAAAACAAAGTGACTATAAATAAAGCATTAGAATACTAATATTAAAAAGCACCACAGGGCTTCCCTGGTGGCGCAGTGGTTGGGAGCCCCCTTGCCAATGCAGGGGACGCGGGTTTGTGCCCCAGTCCGGGAGGATCCCACGTGCGGCAGAGCGGCTGGGCCCGTGGGCCATGGCCGCTGAGCCTGCGCATCCGGAGCCTGTGCTCCGCGGCGGGAGAGGCCACGGCAGTGAGAGGCCCGCGTACCGCAAAAAAAAAAAAAAAAAAAAAAGCACCACAGTAGCTAAGAACAGTCTTGGTAATACCTGTCTTTCATATTAGCTGTCAGTCAAGGTCCCCAGCACATAACTAGATCTTCACTAAGGGCCAGTCTCTCCTTCAGGGAAGCATCTAACAAAGCATGTATTCCATAACTGAACATGCAAATTCTCGAACATTAACAGATAATATAAATTATATTTCCTAAGGTAATAAACACCACACGATTGTGCTAAAAAATCTTTGCATGGTGCTGTGTTAACCTTGCGTCCTTAGATCTACGCTACAGATTATTGTACTAAAGTCAATTTCTACTTTAACATTAATAGCAGGGTATAGTTCTCACGTTGTTTCTTAAGAAATGATAGAACTGCTTGGAATTTCCCTTACGTTTGCATACATATTTCATTGTTCTTATACTAGGAGTGTAATAGATTTGCTTCTTGTCTAATTACAATGTAAACTGTAGAATTCAGCACTCCAGTTCTCAGGGTGGTAATGTGCTCTGTAGTTTCATGCTGATTGGTTTTACTTATATGAATGTGTTTATAGATGCTCCTTAGGGCCGGAGCTCTGGCCCTTAAGAATACCATGTGCGTGTTCATCAGTAAAGATAAGCACCAGTGACTAATAGATAGATCCACTTTCAATCTATGTTTTCCTAGTTTTAAAAACACAAGGATTTAATGGCCAGTATTTTATTTCGGATTTTTATGTCTAGATTCATAAATGAAACGGGCCTATCCTTTTCTTATACTATCTATTGATCTTAGAATTAAGAACACCATCATGGAGTGATTTTAATATCGTTTATTTTTATATTTTCTTAAACAATTTGAAAATACAGAGTATCGCTGGTCCCTGAAAGTTTGGTGAAATACATGTAAAACCATCTGGGCCTGTATTTTTTGGAGAGTTGGATAAAGGACAAGGAGTTAGGATTACCATTTTAATTTTATGGGCTCTGGTTTTTTTAAGTTTTCTTTTCCTTCTTGCACTAGAGCTTTTAATAGTTTTTCTAAAAGTTTATATCATCTAATTTATTGTTGTATAGTTGCTAATAACATTTTTCACTCATTCTTAAATTCCTTATGAAATGGTTTGTATGTGTGAACAAGGAGATGTATGCTACAGTTCTTTGCAGTTGAAGTCACTTGCTTATCACTCCTGATTCTAGTTCCATTGCTTCCCTCCCCAAAGGTGGCACCACTCCTGCATCTGAGGTCCATCGTTCCCTGCATTTTTGGATTCCTCAACTACATATGTATGCCTAAAACATACTAGGTATTATTTTGCATTTTCACATATATTGGCATAAACGTATTCATAGTATTTTCTTATTAATTTTTGCTGCATCTTTAGCTGTAACCGTTTATCCTTTGCTCTTTCTGTCTCAAATACACACACGTGTGCATGCATGCACACAGTCAGCCTTCCCAGGAATTGGTGTATTTTTTCTTTTTGGCAGACTTTACCCTTCTTGATCTTCTGTACTATCTTTTTTTAAATTAATTTCTAACTCTTGTTATTCCCTCCCTTCTTTTCTCTCTGGGTTTTTCCTTCTCTCTGGGTTTCTCTTTGCTAACTTCTTGGATCAGTCACCTAGCTCAGTGGCATCATTCTTTATGCACTTGTACCACAGCACTGGCTATTTAGGATGGCATCCCTCCTCATTGGTTGGGGCTTAAACAGTTACATGTTTAAAATTAACCTTGAAAATAAACATTTAGGGCTATAATTTTTTTCTTTAAAATGCCACGTTAACTGCATCCCACTAATTCTTATGAAATTTTAAGTTAATTTTATTCTTAAGCTATTATATAATTTAGGTATTTCCTGAAAGTGGCATGTAAGCAGAAATAAAAATAAGTATATATATTTTACTTTATCAGGTGAAAATGAGATTGTTTGTAGTCTATTGTGCAAACTTCTGGTCTTGAGTAGAACAAATAAGAAATACCTCTGTCATTAGTAAAAGTAAACCCCAGAAACTCCCAAGGTGGCACTGGAGGCATCTATCTGTTTAGATACATAATATTTTCTCATTTCTATTATGAATTCCTCTATGGTTCATATGTTATTTAGTGCATTTTAAAATATTCTAAGTGGTTGGCAACTTTTCGATTATCTTCTTGTTATTGATGCCTAACTGAATTGTATTCTCATTAGGTTGGTGGCAATGATATTGATTGCTAGAGGCCAGAACATGGTCTGTTTTTCATGAAATATTTTGTGTGTGCTTATGAAAAATGTTGATTCACTGTCAGAAACTAGGTTCTCTCCAAGTCATAAGCCTGTTTGCTGATTGTTTAAACCCACCATATATACTTTCTAAATATTTGTCTAATTAACCCATCAGGTACTGAGAGTAAAGGGTAATATCTCCCATTATAGTAGTGCAGTTTTCCAAACTTGTAGTTCTGCCAATTTTTACTTTATGAATTTTAAGGCTATAATGTTAGCTGCATACAAATTTAGAATTTTGCCTTTCTACTAAGTTTTTTTTTAACATTAGCAAATGGATCTTTGTTTTTATTAGTGCCTTTTACTTTAACATCTATTTTACTGATTCTTTACTGTCAGTCATTTGGGGCCCTTGTGCTTTGGTAGTTGGGTTTTTTCTTTTCAAACAGCATTTTTTTTTTTTAACATGTGGCATGTTGCCATCATCTGTCAGGCTCCTTTTTAATTAAGTTTAGTTCACTTACATTTTTAATGATTACTGATTATCACTGATTTTTAAAATTTCATCTTTCTTTTCTCCTCCTTTTAAAATAGTTTTGTTCCCTCTTTTTTTAAGTCAACTAAGTTTTTAAAAATTTATTTCTCCTCCACTAATTAGTTTGGTATAATCCTCTATTTCTATTTTTTGTGTGTGGTTATGCATACTTAACATACTGTCTCTAAAAATCTACTTTTCTCTTCCCAAACAAATAACACTTTAACTTCCTTGTTTTAATTTTTTATTGCTACCCAAATGAGACATTACTCTTTTTATATAATCAATACTTGTTTTGATTTTTTTTCACATTCACCTAATACTGTGTTCATTATTTCTTCATGCATCTCAGACTTTCACAGGTAGGACTGTTTTCCTTTCTGAAATACAGTTGTCCTTTGAACAACGTCTGGGCTGGGGCACCAAACCTTTGCACAGTAAAAATCTGCATATAACACATAGTCCACGCTTCTTATATGTGGTTCCTCACGGCTCCTCCATATCCATGGCTCCACATCTGCACATTCAACCAACAGTGGATCGTTTAATATTGTAGTATTTACTACTGAAAAAATTCCACATATACGTGGACCTGCACACTTAAAACCTGTGTTGTTTGAGGGTCAGCTGTACTTCCTTTGGAAGTTTCTTTTAGATACAGGGATCTAGTGGTAATGAACTCTGTTTGTCTACAACCATAGAATTTTCTGTCCTGCAACACAGAAGATCAGAAGCATTTAGCCATCTAAACCATTACCACCAACCGGTACCCAGGCCTCGGGGCCAGATGAGCTGCGTGCAGGTCCGCTCTGCTGTGTGCTTTCTCTGGCTCTGCTCCTGGCAAATGTGAGGCTACAGTGTGTTTATAAGGATAAACTCCAGACAGAAATACATGCTCATTAATGACACATGACCACTTTGTGTACTGCAAAGAAACCTAGGAAGTGTGGAAAATGCATAGAAAGTGATTCAGATACAGTACTTAAAACCAAAGGAACTCATGCTTTAATAGACACTGAAATCACAAAGGAAGGCCAAGTGCCTTAGCAATCTCAATAAAAATATGAAGTTCTTTTTACATGGTAAATTTCATAATATAAAAAGTTTAATGCCATCTGGAAAAACTGTAATTTACAAAAAAAAAGTCCACATAGGCCAAAGATGGCTAACACTGCATACAAGGGGCATGAGTGCCAAGTGGGGAAGGCGTCTGAGGAGGGGAGATGTGACCACGTGTGTCCTTACATGGAACATCTTTGAAGGGTCTGGCACAGACAAGGGCCCAGTTCACAAAGCACATGGACAGTTCTTTTAGGTAAAACAACAAAATATGTGATGAAAATTATACATTTTTCACATTCTGCCTACTTACTAAATGCAAACCAAATTATTGTGTGGCATTTTTTCCAGCCTGAACTGAAACTAACGAAGTGACTGTTCTCCTTGTGGTGGGGGTGGTAGCAGGACAGGCACTGAGCTGGGGACTTGCCGAGGTGACCGCCTACCGGGATTCACCGGGACAGACAAGCACAGCGAGGACAGTGTGTGCAGCAGCACGTGGACCAGGGACCGTTTCAAGTGGATGGAGGTGAGAACTTCTTCATTTTACTACACACCAATACCAAAACGCATCAAAATGTAAGCTTGAGTAGCTAATTTCGTCTTGGTATATTGACTTAGTTAAAGATCACTGAAGTAGTTGCATGGTTCACTGGTGAGAAGTAAGACAGATTCAACTACCTTGCTTTGTGGTCATACCAAGTTTCTAGGAGAGGGAGATTTTATTGCTTGTATTTGGTGTATTTGCATCTGATGGAGTAGAGTAGGGGCAGGGGTTCCAGTTTCCTGAGCTGAAAAAGAAATAATATCCAATGCTGTCTGCATACAGTGAGGAAAACTATTTTTGTAAATTTCACCCACACCCAGCGACTCCTTCCAAGTGGGGCAAAGAGCCGAGGACTATGCAGGGGTCATTCGCTTCCATCCACATGGCTCAGGTTCCCACGCATTCCTATCAGTTTTATCCACAGCCTGACACTCACTTTCCCTAGATTGTAGAAACAAAACATTATGCTAATTGTGTTTTCTGTCATCTATACCAGGAGTCAGCAAACTTTTTCTTAAAAGGCTAGATATCTTAGTTTTTGTGGACCAAGAGGTAAAATCAAAAATATTATGTAGGTATTTATTTATATAAATATTTTAAAATGTAAAATCCATTCCTAGCTCATGGCTGTAAAAATCTGGGCCTCTGACCAGATTTAGCCTGTGGGTCATCATTTGCCAACCTCTGATCTGTACAAAGAATTTGCAAATTATACAGTCTCACATAATTTTTAAGTGCATACTGTTTTCAAGGCAGCCTGAAAAATTCACCTTGATTTTACATCCATTTCACTTGTATAGAAAACACCAAGACTGACAGTAAACATAAAGAAGCGGCGACTCTACAGTGATTTTTAGATTGGTCCTATTATTTCATCATCTTTGCTTTTCTTCCTTGAAACTTATATCTAGGACCAGAAAATAATCATATATTCCATTTGGCTTTTCAACATGAAACCTACAACAACAAATGTATTTAGGACTAAAACCAGGTTAGGGTCCATGAGTCCTCCTCGCTGGCTTGGTAACCACGGGGAAGCCATCTGGGTGGTGGAGGATGTGCGCTAGAGGGAGGCCTACGGGGGTTGTGCCCTCGTCCTCAGGGATGGAGCAGAGACCCGGCCTTTCCTCCAGGGCTACTTGGCACTTGGGAAAGAGGCTGAGAGTTGCTGAGAAAGGAACAGCCCAACTATCTATATGTGGATTCAGAAATTTACTTTGAGGTTTATTTCTTGTTGTTGAGGACCTGATTTTTCTATCTAAATGCACAGTGCTATAAACTTGGCTTTTATTTGCTATACTGGTACTTTTATTACCATTTATAAAAGACATAAAGACAACCTCATAGTTGCTTGCTTCTTTATAAAGTATTTTTCTTCCAGTGTTGGGATCAGGGTTAGAATGGGACATACTTTTGCTTTTGTCAACATGGCTGTTGGGTTAAACACAAAAAGCTTCTATGACATAGCTCAGGAGAGTAAGACAAATTGAATAAATATTATCTCTTCCTCTTTTCAGAGTACAGTGAGGAACAGGGCAACTAACTGGTCAGTGTATGTTTATAAAGTGAGATCCTATCCAGGGTTAAAAACTCCCTGGAGGTCTTGATGTTAGTGTCCCTCCTGCCAGGCCCCTCCTGTCCACTCCCTGTGTGGCTCGTGTCCTGGGACAAGAGGCTGCCCACCGTTGTATGATGGACCCTCAAAGTGAGGATGGTAGGATTTCAATTTTAGAATTACCTAAAAGAGGCTTATGTAAATTCTCCAACTAAGCTTAGGACTAACATGATCTTCAGCACTTCTTTTCTTTATTTAAATATGTTAATGGTTACCCCTACCTAGACTGTTCTTTTGTCTTGTCCCAGCTGGCAACAGTATCAGTGAACTGACATAGCTATAGGAAAAGTCCCTCTTTTTTTTTCTATGACAACACTTTTAGGAAATCTCTTTCCCTGTTCAGCAGTAATTCAGATGTATATCCCAGCAGAAGGCCCCCTGCTTCTGAGGCTGTGGACATTAAAGTCTTCTGTGTGGGGGGGAGGGGATTTGTCCTTTGGACCACAGGAGCAAGGGGCACTGGTCACACTAAGATGAGGGTCCAAATGCAGCTCACAGATGTGAGGTGCTGGGATTGTGGGAATCTGGTGACAGATTTAGACAGAAGGGGTTTTAGAAACCTGGCGTTGGGAAAAGATAATAAAATTAAGCAGGTAATAAAGGGAATAAGAGCTGGAAGGCTAGATTCTGGTTAAATCTAGTTAGCCATGGGATTTTTCTTTTGTTTTTTTGTTTGTTTTTTGTTTTTTTGTTTTTTTGTTTTTTGCTTATAAGGAAACTGAATAATTTCAAACTCTCCCCTCCAAACTTGATAATTGCTTATTGAAGACTATTCAAAATTTGACATTTTAAAAAACTTTTTGAGCTTTTAAAAATAATAGCTATAAATGCAAAGTACTGTTGATAATAAAACCAAGTTGTTTATCCACGTACAAAAAAGGTCAGTAATGTTTTAAAAGCACAAAGTTGCATTTTTAAATCACAATTGCATAGTTCTAAAATGCCTGGGTAAGAGTTACATAAATTTTTTTAAGAAAATTCAAGTTTGGTTGACAGTGGGGCCCCAGGGACATTTGTAGCCCTCAAAGAGCAGAGTTCAGGAAGTGAATTATTGCCTTGTTACTCTGATGTTACAATATCATGAGACCAAAACTGCTACAATTTAATTATAAATCATTGGCATTTTTAAAACCAGTATCCTGTTTTTTGGCTACTATAACACTTTCATGTAGAACTCAACTTAGAGAGATTTTTATATACCCTACCCCCAACCAGCACCTGAAAGCCTTAAAAAAGCTCTGTTTGTATTTCTATGTATAAAAGGTACTGCATATATACCTCTTAGCAAAATATGTGCTCCCTTTCTCTCCCCACCCCAGAACCATGACCATTTTTGTACAAAAATCCTGTTGAAGAATCACATCAAAGATGAGAAGCAGGGAGTTCCAAGGTAAACATTTGGTGACGTGTAGAAAATTCCATGAGCCTCCTGTACCAACCCCACAGAAGTCCTGGCTTTTGGTGAATCTGGCCCAGAGTCCCAGAGGGGCTACCAGTGTGTGTGTGTGGCGTCTGGGAGTGGTGGCGCCCGCGCCCCGAGAACAGCCATGCTGGGGCGGCCACGTTCAGGAGCAGGCCAAGTGAGTGCAGAGAGCTGGGCTGTGGGCCGCTGTGCTCCAAGCCGGTGTTGGTGGGTATAAAAGATGTTTCAGCATTTAGAGGAAGGAAAAAATCTTCCTGGGGACAGAAACTTGTAGCCGTTTCCAGAAGGAAGTCTCAAAGGGCGCGTGGGCACTGCGGCAGGAGGGCCGGCGGGCAACGGCAGCGTGCTCAGCGAGGTGGTCTCCGTATGCCAGTGTCCGTTGGGAGGGGCTTTTGGGGGCGTTTCCCCACATTGCTGCAAAGACAGCTCCTTAAGTTCCAGCTTGTCTGCTCCTTCCTCCTTCTTGCTGTGCCGAGGTGACAAGTTTAATAGACTGAGGACATCTCTCTTGGAAGTCATCGTTCCAGGGGTCCCCCGGAATATTTTCATTGGTCCCGTGGAATGCTGGGGTGTGCTCTGCCAAAACATCTTCAGGTTGTGTACAGCCTGCACCTTCTCGTCGATGGCTGCCATCTTCAGCTTGTCTATGTCAGGAGCGTCAGCTGGACTCGAGCGAGCGGAGCCAGCTGAGGAATAGGAGAGAGCTGGGGACGGTGCACTTCCAGCAGGAGACTGGTGGCCTGAGCTCGGGGACATGTTCCTTGGTGATTTGGAAATGTGAGCACTGTAAGGAGAGCTGGGATACTTCAGCTTAAAGAGAGGCTGGTCGGTCAGGGAGGTCTGGGAGTCAGAGCCGGGCGACGGCCGGCCACTGTGCTGGCTCGGGCTGTCTTTGATGGACGCCTCTGAGGCGGTGGGGCTGCTGTATCCTGAACTCACCTTGGGTAGTGAAGAGCTTCTGGCTGGGGGCTTTGGTTTGATAGTAACTGGCGACAGCTGGCTCTTCTGGTGGGAGAGGGCAGGCCTGCTGAACGCACTTGTTTCTGATGCTCTGAAGACAGCAGCGCTGTTGGGCACGGAAATGCCATCTTCAGGATTAGTGCCCTTACCTTGACCACTACCCCTCTGAAGACGTTCCACCGCAATGAGATGGCTTTGTGTCTCCTCTAGAATCTTCTGGGCCAACTCTTGTGGATCAAGCTTTGGGTTGCTTTCTTCTTGGGATTTCACGGTACTGTCTGTTTCTGTGCTAGACTGGTCTGATTCTCCTGTATCTGAACTTGCTAGTTTTCCAACCTTCTGGAAGGGTGAGTTTGGGCTGGGAATCAGAGTCATTTTAACTGGAGAGTTTGGAGTGCTTATGCTCCCCTTGGAGCTTACCGAAACTTTCACACCACCAGCTGTCCCGACGCGGGACTGTTTGTGATCTGGTGAGAAGCGAGTCTGTCTGTTTTCTTGGTAGGCCGCCAAAGGCTCAGTGCTGATGATGGAAAACCCTTCGTATTCTTCTTCGTCTTTGCTGTCTGCAGGGCGGGTCGGGGGGGACAGCTGGCTCCGAGGCAGGGTGGATCGCTGTGGGAAGGCGTTCTTGGACCGGTCGTAGTCCTGCCTTCCTCGAGGACCTCCGCCCTCTGACCCACCCTCAGGCTTGGAGACAAAGCTCATTGAGGAGGCGATGGAGCTCAGACTGTACACAGAGATGGCATCTGAGGCTATGCTCTCTGCACCGGTGGGAGAGAAAGGAGGGTGCTGGTAGCCCAAGGGCAGAGCATTGGAGACAGACTGGGCTGAGGCCAGAGACTCCAGGGAGGACGAGCTGTCAAGGCTGAGGCGCTTGGGCAGCTCAGTGGAATCTAAGACAAAACATAGGTGCCCAGAGGACAGTTAGAATTCTGTATGGTTCTTATTTTTCTTTCACAAGCATCCTTATACGCATAGAAGCTAGCAAAGCATTATGCAAGTGTTACTTATACACAACTTGAATTCATCTTATAAGCCTGAAACACACAGTCCTGTTGGAAAAAGTAAAGCTTACACTGGGGACAAAAACACCCCGAGAGTGCCCACAGCCCCGTGCGCTGCAGACCCCACCATGTGCCCATCTCCACTCTGCTCCCTATCTCACGGGACCCCATGGCAGCCTCCTGCTCTGAATAGGGCGATCTGTGATGCCCCCTGTCCTAAACCCTCACGCGCCATCCCTTCCAGCTCCAGCCCCATCGCTCCACACCCCAGCAACCTCCTCTCCGCACGGCCTCTCTCCTCCCAGCTGCTCTTAACCCACTCCAGTCAGGCTTTCGTCCTCCCCAGTTCATGTAAAGGTTAACAGTGGCCACCAAATCTGGTATTCTGCACAGTCAATCAATCACACCTGGCCCTCGTGGACTGATCCTTCCCGGGCCCCTCCTTATCTCTCTGACCTCTGACCCCAGGAGCGCCCACAGGACACAGTCCTCTTCCCCGCGGACCTACGTGCACATTTATGTCTCCACACTGGACTCGTCTAACCAGCTGCCTATGAAGGTGTCCAAGAGGAAACTCAGAGCCCTCCCATTCCTTCTGCCACTTTCAAGGTCTCAGCAAAGGCAGCCCCATTCTGGCAGCTGTCCCAAAGAATAGGATATCACCTTTGGCCCTCTCTTGAGCACATTTATCAGCAGGCCCTGCTGGTCACCTTCAAGCCTTGGCCACCATCCGAGCCAGCATTTAGCCTCACTTGGCCTCTTGAGAATGGCAGGCAGGCTTGCCCCAGGGTCTGAAAAGTGCCTCGCAGGCCCGGCTCTGGGCACCACTGCTCCCTCATCATCTCTGCTGCGATGCCACCCTCACTTCCTTAGTCCCTTAATCTGCACGTTTTCTGCAGAGCACATGGTGGCACCTCATCTAACATATACTACATGTATGCTCATCGTAAGTTGAGTTCCACGAGAGCAGGGAGTTTGTTTACTTGAACATTCCGTAACACACAAAAAAGGTTCGTTCACTTAATTCTTCCTCTTCCCAAACCATAATCAGGGTCATGCCCGTGGCTCCTGGGGGCCACTTGGGGTGGCGCCACACGGAGCTCTTACCGAAGAGTGCGAGCAGGGCTTGGAGCGCAAAGTGCATGGTCCGTCGATTGGCTTGTTTCCCGGTTTTCAGGATTACTTCCTCCTGACCAACCTCACAGAGATCAAAACCTATAGAAACAAAGAGTATAAACACCTGCTTCCTTAGGGAAGATTCCATGTCCTAAAAAGGATTAGGGCTCCTCATACAGTCCCAGGGGAACCCCTGCAGACCCCTCAGAAAGCCCCGCCTGGGCCCCCCACCTGCACGTCAATCATGTGAACGTCAAGTCACGTGAACCAACGGGGGCCAGCTCTGCGACCCTCACACCTGCTCAGCGTCACCTCTGTCCCTTCGTAGAGCACTGAACTGCATTTCTCCAGAGGAGAGGGTGGGAATTAGTAAGGCTCATTAACACTTGTCTCCATTCTTTTGCAGAAGAACAGTCCACTTAAAGAATACTGTCCAGGACAGACAATGGCCACTCCGTTTGGCATTAGGTCCAATATTTAAAGCTAGTGCAGGGGAAGGTGGAAGCTTCTCAAGGGCAAGGACAGTGTCTCCATGTGTGGTCAGTGTCTGCCACAAGGGCTCTGAGATGAGCTCTCTCTGATGCTGCAGAATCTGCTGTATTGGCTGAACTGCCCTGCAGGCACTCCACTCCTCTCTGCCAGAGCCTGAGGGGCTGCTCCTGAGCCTAACAGTTCTAATGAGACACGGAGCTGGCACAACCAAGGGCAGGAGCCTCCTGAGCAGGAGGCTGCCTAACGAGCTGTTGCCACAGCACTTAGACTCATCAGGGGCCATTACAGAGGCAGCCAGCACGTCTCCAGGGAAGAATGTAGGAGGAAGAAGCCAAACAGACACCACAGCCAGTGCTGCGTCCATAGGCGGTGCCACCGAGCAAGGAGTTAGGGCCTGGGAGCCTCAGCATGGAACGTTCCGCCAAAGGAGAAATCTGTCTCTGCCTTTTTTATTCTTGTAACTCTGATATTGGTTCTGACACTATCATTCCTTTGGGAATTAGATTCAGTAGAGTAGCCACTCAGCATTTGGGTTGCTATGGGACATTTTCCTCTCTGAACTCAAACAGTCCCTGAAAACAACAGGAAGGTCTCAGGGAACTCAGCACTTTGAAAACGAATATCTAATAATATAAATGTAACATTTTTAGTTAGAAAACTCTATCAAAGTAATTTGAACTGGTTGCTCTAATAGAACTTAGTCCTCTAAATAAACCACAGCTCTGTGATGGGTGTGATGGTGCCAAGGGCTGGAGGGGGCGCTTCTCCCCAGTCTCAGTCCAGAGGACTTAAAAATCAGAAGTATGTACACCCAACTCACCCCTTGAGTATCACTGGGATTTGCAAAGTACAGAGACGTAGAGGAGCATCAACAAAAGTCACCTAGGATCCCAACACCAGAGAGAGCCAGTGACACACCTGGCAAAGGGGCATCAGAAACAGCCTGTCCACAGGGGAGGAGGGCTGGCTCCGTCACACCCGCACTCGAAGGGGGGCTGAGGCCCTGCTTGAGGACAAGAGCTTTTACTTTACTTTATACAGAAGGGCCTTGGCTTCGTTCTTGCCTCACCCTGCACCCCGTCGCAAAGGTGAAGAGACCCAACCTGGGTGTGGACCTGATCTTTCTCACCCTTGCTCCATCTGCTCCTGACTTACCTATTCAGATATAAATTTACTATGTTTACACCAAGAAGCCTATGTTTTAAGTCCACAGAAAACAAGCAAATAGTACAAATCATAAAGGACATCAAAGCATCTACTCACAGGGGATTTGGAGCTCCTGCGGGGCTGTGTGGCTTTCCCCCTTTACCTTCAAAAACAAATGGAGCCTGCCCTAAGCTGAGTTGGGCTGGGAAAGGTCATCTACAAATGGACTAGCAAAGATGGCCCAATACTGAATAGCCAGGCCTCCCAAGCAGAAGAGACGTTCCTTAAAAAGGAATCTGCCCTGCCACGTTGGATGGCTGGTCCCTGTACCAGTGAATCCAGGCCATGTCAACCGCCAAAGACGCCCCACTCCATCAGGTTAAAAACCAAGGGACTTCCACTGGCCTCACAGCCCCAGGATCTACCCCATCCTGTGTCTCATCTGCCCCCGTGTCCCCTGCACCTTGCCCAAGCTCACAGACACTCTTCCCTCGGCCTGGATCTTTCATCCACAGGCTCTGGGCCTGCCAGCCTCCCTGCCTCCACCCCTCAAGCACATCACTGTGACCCCGATGCTTTTGTCTGTCGTGGTGCTTCCTCACCTGAGGTGCTCCCCTTAGATTAGGTCTTTCTATGTCTGTCTGTCTCCCCCTCTAGCATGAAAACTCTGGTAAGAGGGCAGGGCTTTTTGTCCTTTGCTCACTGCTGATACCCAGTGCCTAGAACATTGCCCGACATAGAACAGGTGTTGAAAAACAAAAACAAAAAATGTGTGGAGTGAATGGCTCTCCGGTAAGTCACACAGGCACTTAAGTGGGGCAGGAGGAGAGCAGCTTAGCCTCTCAAGATGTTTTATCAACAAACGCACCTGTGGTAAGAAAAGAGCGATATTGTTGGGAGCTGCCTCAGTTGGGTTACAATGTTGAAAAAGGAAGAGTGTTCTGGATTGGGTTACAATGTTGAAAAAAGAAGAGTGTTCTGGATTGAAAGAGGATCCTGAAATAAGCAGTTCTAGGTCCCCGTGGTCAGTCAAAGGTGGTTTCAATTGTATTTTTTTCTGCCAAGTTCCAGTAGCCAGTGATAGGGACCAATATTGAAATCATTATTTTATGACTTGACTGTATTTTCTTTAATCATGGCCTGACTCCCAACAATACTTGAATCTAACAGATTCATCTTAACGCAATGACTACAAATGGGAGAGAGGAAATCATAATGTAGGGAGAGTGGGACAAAGCTGGAAGGCCATTTGGAAATTGTGCTAAAGCACTAGAGTCTGCATTAGCTATTTTTAAGTAATAAACTAAGAAAACACTAAGACCCCTGAGTCTATCAACTTTACCCAATAAAAATGAGAAAAATAGGTTTTTTAAAAAATAGAATGAAAGAAGCCAATGAAGTCAAGGATGCTCCATCCTACCTAGAGCCGCCAGGAATTCGTGACATCCCGGGAGCCGCCACAGCTGGACGCTGATGGAGACCTGAATGGGGGCTGATGCGAAGTCCTGCTCCTTCTCGCCGGCCTGCAGCTGGACCAGCACCTGGTGGAGCTGAGCAGGGAGAGCGTCAGCGTCCGCTGCATCTGGCCCCCAGGGGTTTGTCCCCAAGTTTCTCTTGTGTCACCTGTCATTATCATCGCTAATGACCTTACACGTGGGTAGCATCTGAAATTCTCTTTACGGTGCCTCCATGCCTACTGTCCTGCTGTCCTCTCTGTGGGAGCTCGAGGCCCAGCCCCCAGGCAGGGTTTCTGCTTCCAGCCTCTTCCCTCGCACACTGGCCACGGGGCTATGAGTGCAGGAGGGGACTCGGGGCCTAGAGGAGGGGTGGGGTCTCCCAGACACAACCTGCTGAATGTGTGAACTCCACCCGGGGCCTCGTGTGGGTTCACAGTGTGTTGCTCCTGCCCCTGCTGTTCTGGGGGAACTTGAAAGGTCAAATCAAGAGCACAAGAAGGGTGGAGCAGGAAAGGGGAGCCAGAGCGGAGACGGGGCAGACCACCTGAGCCAGCGGCACTGCCCCCCCAGCCTGAGCGCATGTTGGCGAGACAGCAGTGCCAGGGGGACCTCGGGGTGGGCGGGTTGAGGGGCTCACCTGACAACAGTGCTACTCAGAGTGGTACTCACCATTCCAACCATATTTTTAACAGCCTTCGGCCAGCAGATTATAAGAAGAAGAAAGAAAAAGAGAGAAAGAAGAGAATTTAGACTTAAGCACAGGTAGTTACGCAACACAAGCTGATCACTGCTGTAGGAAGCACCACACCGGGCCCGCGGCTCTGACCCGGAGGGGAGAGGAGTGAGAGTCAGCAGGGACACACAGGAGAACGCACAGCCACGCCCAGGCCAGACACGCGCTGGGGGTGGGGGTGGGGCCAGGGTCGGCCAGGCCATGCCCTTCCTCGCCAGGAGAGGGGGGAGGGGCACAGTGGGCGCGGATAGGCCACTCTGTAGAGCAAAGTCCACTCTGGTTCCAGAGTGACTCGGAAATGCCTACCATCCCCCAGCCACTGGGGGCGGCCCAGGACGCTTCCCTGTGGAGGTCCCTGTGCTGCCACCAAAAGCTAGAAATTAAGCTATTGGCTGTTTGGATGCTCAGCCTGGCCCTGTAAATGTAACTCTAGCTTTCTCTTTTTGTAGAGCACAGGCTTGTAGCCCTCCTGGATTCAGGATGTTTAAGTGTCTTCCTGATTCTATTCAACAAGCAGGTCTAACACACTTACTACAAAGTAGCAGGAACTCAGTGAAGGGGCCAGATGAGTGAGCTATGTTCCAAATCCAAGCTGGAAACCACCCCAGGTAGGGGGAGGCTCCAGGAACCAATCAGATTTGCAGAGGTTAACCCTAGATGGAGCAGCTTTATTTCCACATAGAAACAGTTCTGCTAAAATGAAATCTGCTGATATCTAATAATGTGTATTTTTCAAATTATTACACTGTAAGGTGACCACAGAAAACTGCTCTGTGCTTTTTAGGAGTTGCTACACTGTCACCCCAGTGCTTGTTCCAGACCCTCACCGGCCAGTAGGAAGATCAGAAGCTCTTAGGCCAAGTTGGGAAGGGCCCACATGATGCTAAGGGTTAGAATCCTCCAATTCTCTGAGTTAGATCTACATTCTCCTAAAAGAAGGCACTTTTTGAAAAGCTGCTAAGCAGTACCTTTCATGAGACTTGACTTCGTGTTCACTGCTGTGCCTCAGTGGTGGTTTTGTTTCAGGCAGAGGTCATACTTTGATCTAAGAATAAGTATTGGAGCACCTGTAGCCACCCTGACGGGATGGCCCTACACCTGCTGGCTTGGGTAAGGTGGCTGCCACACTTGTCAATCAGCAGAAACAGTTGGTGGTTAGGGATGATGAGGTGCAGGAGACCACTGAATGGAGAGTTCAGGAAATGCCCTGAGATTACAGGTGACTGGGGCCCCTTAAGCATCCTCTGAGGCCCTTGGGACTCAGTGCCCAGGGAGGACACTGGGAGAACTTGCTCCTCTGTGCCTGCACCTGCTGGAGAGGGCAGTTCTACTCCCAGCCCTTGCCTTTTCCTTCTCATTACAAAAGCTGAAAAAAAGCAGTGAGGCATCACGTGCAGGTTCCTATTTGGGGCCAAATCACTGTCTTTCCAACCCGGCACAGTCCTCAGACCTGGGCTCAGCTGTCCTGGCTCAACTCACCCGGCTGATGAGCTGCTCGCCCGTCTCTGAGGCAGTGATGAGCTTGCAGAGGGCTTGGAGGGCAGGGTTGGGCAGACCTAGAGCAAGGAGGAGGCAGGCGTTATCCGGAGGGGCCTCTGCACCCACAGTCCTGCACCTTCCGAGGGGAACGCACCCCAAACGCTCAGCTTTGGTGGCATTTTCAGAAGCTCGGGACGGCCAGACGTGTGTATCCGTGTCTGGCTTGTCTCTGAGAAGGGCAGATGGAGGCAGGGCCAGTCCTGACCCTGCTGTGTCCTCCAGGCATATGGTCACATGCCAGGACCCCAACTAGACACTCAGGCAGCATCACCCGCTTCGAGTGAAACACAAAGGGCAGCCCTGAGCATCTGTGTCCCACGTCACCCTGGGGTCAGCCACACAGCTCTGTCAGATCCGAAGCTGCTGAATAAATGTTAATAGTAGCTACTGTTTGCCCAGCAAGACCTCACGTCACCCCAGGAAGGGGCAGAGGATGTGTTGCCATCAGATGGAAACACTAGGTCAGGAGCACTCCTTTCATCCAGATCAGGAGGAGTCTGTGTCTGGGACTCCTCAGCACTTCTCAGGAGACCCTTGCTCCTCCCCACCTGAGACCCAGCAGGGACCGCGGCCACCCACTACCCTGCTCAAGCTGTCAGCCAAGGCTCACCCAGCAGGGACTGGATGGTGCTGCTGCACTGCTGGAGCCGGTCGCCCGGGTCGGAGGTTGGGAAGAAGACGGCTGCTGGCAGGCCACTGGCTGGGGGGTCCAGCCGGAAGCCCACAGCAGTGAGGAGGGCCTGCCAGCCAGGGATGCCGCCCACTTTGTTCTCCACGCTCTGCTGGGATGTGTACATGGCGTTGCGCTGCCCGTTCTGAATGCGCTGCAGGGACTTCTCCACCTGCAGGGGAGGGGGGAGTGAGGTGCCACTCTGGCGGGGTGGGCAGGGGGGGTACCCTCTTTTCTCTCCAAGTGGCTTTGGGGGAACACAAAGCCCATGTGGGAAGCTCTGCAGGGCCGGCAGCTGCCACCATGCACCCAGGCCTGAGGACCATACTCGGCAGCAGCAGCCAGTGTCTTGCAAGGGAGGGGCTGCTACCATCAGAGCCGAGGGCTGGAGACTCAGAAGAGTCCTGTCCCTTCCCTAACCCAGCTCCGGGCTGTCTTCCACAGACACTGAAGTGACTTGTCTGAAAATCAATCTCCGGCCAGGGACCTGCCCCAAACCCTGCAATGGCTGCGCCTCGTCACTAGGATGAACCCTCAGGCCTTCAGGACCCCCTCACTGCTCGTGCACCTCACACACACCAAGTAGTGCCCACCGTGGGGCCTTCGTCCCCCAGGCCTCCGACTCCTCCTTCATCCTGTAGCGCTGACCTCTGGAACCTGTGTCCACCTGCACACGGGCCCCTTCCACTTTCCAGGGCCTAAATCAGTGCTGCCAGGTAACTGCCACCCTAACTCTCCCAGGGAGTGTCCACAGCACCTGCAACAGCCGCAGGCCTTCCCTCGGCGGTTTTTCTCTCAAAGGGAAACCTCAGTCCCTCTGAGATGTCACCTGCTCTGGGGCACATGTGCCGTCACTGGAGGGGAAGGAGAGTTGTCCAGGATGTCACTTGAGACTTTTCTTAGAGTAAAACCCTGGGATGCTGCGGGCTGACATCAGAGGCTGGAGGAAACGCACGTTCCCGGGCAGGACAGACAGGCAGCCAGCTGGCTGTCCCCCGGGCTAGAAGGGCACTAGAGACACTGTCCAGTGGATAGTTAGAAGGAGGAAAAGACTGGTGAACTTGACCCATAGCCCCTACACTCACCCCAGAAGATGAAGTCAAGAAGAAAGAGAAAACCCTTAGATGTACTTGAGGGGCCTCAAGGCCGAATGGGAGTGAAGAGGCCTGGCTCTTGCTCCACGGCCTGGCCTGGGAGGAGAAAGCAAATGGGCTACAGCAAGGAAGAAGGGCACCTCTCGGGGCGAGAGGGACCTGACAAGGGTCCTAGTGCTGAGCAACATAAAGGCTCTGTGCAGCTTCCAGGCACAGGTTAAAATCAGTTGAGAAAGTCTTCCCCCAAAATTCTCAAAGCACAAGAGCACGTCCACCCAGTGGCAGGCAGCATGGGTGCCTTGCGTCTGGCCCAAGAGCTGTCAGAGGTTTCAGGCTCCAGCATTCTTGTTCACACACTGATTTTTGTCAGGCCTGAAGAAACCTCCTTCAGGCAGACCTGAGCTTAAGAAATGTCCGTGACTGATCCCTCACTGGAGTCCACACAGCTGATGCCCAGCCTCATGGGCCGCAGCGTTCCCCTGGCCAACGGAACATGCCCACCCAGAAGCCGGCCCCAGCCCACTGCCAGGACCTGTGGAGAAGCCTTCACTGGGCCCTTCCCTCCTGAGCACAGGCAGAGCCGTGTGTGCACCTCTAAGCTATGGGGTGGCTGTTTGCCTTGGGTTTGGAAAGAGCTCGCTGTGGTGTGGGCTGTCCCCTACCTCCCCCTGCCTCACGGGGTCTGGGCTGGGGCTGCACTGGTCTTTCTGGCACAGAACTCCAAGGAAGCTAAGAATTCTAAATTATCTGAAACTGCCTTCCAGGTTATCAAGGTGGAAGGGTGGAACAAGTTTTATGTCACTGTTTCCTGGCCTGATTTATTTATAACCTTTCAATTCTGTAGAAAATGGCGTGGGGCCTCTGTGTTCTCACCAGGGCCCCACCAAGAGTAGGGTTGGGCTTGGACTCTTCCAACTGAGTTTAGGGAAAGGCCAGTGTCCTTTGATTATAAAATACCAGTTCTCAGCTACTGGGATCCTATTGTGTGCCATCTACTCACCTTTTCTCTAACCCTCACGAGAACCTTGAAAAGGTAAAGTTTTATCCCCCCTTCTACTCGAGGAAGTTGAGGCTCGGAGAGCAAGGTCACTTGCCCAAAGCCATGGGGTGGAAGCACCTGTGGTCAGGCCCTGCTCCAGGGCCCCCCTTGGCCACCCCCCACAGGGTCTGGGCGAGAATGGCTGCAGCCGTCGGTGTGACACTGCACACTGTGCCCACCGCACAGACATCTGGGGACAACGTCCCCTCCACCTGCTCACGCCCCCCGGTGCTGTGGGATCCCTCCACCTTCGCCCTGCTCCTTGTGCATCTCCGGCCGCCTCCCGCGAGGGCCCTGCGCCCCTTACCAGGTGCAGCAGCACTCGCAGGGCATCCCGCGCCCGCTCTGGGTGCTGGAGGATCTCGGTGAGGGCCTGGCCGATGAGCGAGGAGGGACTGTTGAGCTTCACATCGCTCCCGATGAGCAAGAACCCTGTGGGGAGCCCAGAAAGCACCTCAGAGTCGCCCTCACCCAGCCCAGCTGGTCTTTACAGCTCATTTGTGCCACAGAGAGAGAGAGGCTTGCCAAGGACAGCTGCTCCACGGGCTGGACCAGGACGGCTAACTCACTGGGGCAGTTTGATACTCTTTTGCTGGGTGAGCTGCTCAGGAAAGCTGCTGAGGTAACTGCGCAGTGAGCAAGGCAGGAAAAGGCTGTGTGGCCCCCAGGGGCCTCCCTGGCTTGGCCACCATCCTGAGAAATGATCTGCCTTGTTTTCCCTGAAATTAATCTGTGTCGGTCTGGAATGTGCCCGGGGATGGAGGGGCGGGTGTGCCTGACTCCTCGGGGCCACCAGACGAGGGGACAGGAGGAGGTATTTCCCAGTTGTAAGATGAGCAAACGGAGCCTAGGCTGGGGAGGAAGGAGCCACATGTCTACCTGGATCCTGTCCCCCTTCCTCTTCCCCAGCACCCACTTCTATAAGCAGGGCCTGGGGGAGGTACACAGCGGAGCAGCCTCCCCCAGCAACTTTAGGACCAACCTTCCCCAAGTAATGGAGGGGAAGGGTTTTCTGAGAATGAATGTGCCAAGCCTGTTTTTAAGGGTAACAGGGCAGCATCATTAAACACCATTTCCCACAGAACAGAGTTGACTTTTCTATCTATTGTCTGTCACTGAAACTAAACAATGACAAAAATACCACGTCCGGAAGATGGGAAGATGCGGGGTGGGGTTGGGAGGCCCTGTCAAGAATAAATGGCCAAGCACAGGGGCTGGGTCCGCACAAACCCTGCAGTACATTCTGCGGGACCACATGGTGCTCAGAGCCCCTTCTGACTGCTGAGAGCAGATATAAACAGACACCATGTGCTGAGAACAATCATGGAAACCACGGGCGTGATCGCCTCTGATTTCCACATCTCCTGGCAGAAGAAGTCTGGCAACATGGCCAGGCCCAAACCCGCAGGGCCTGCCTGCCCCGTGCCTCGCAGATGGAGGGCCCAGTCGTGAGCTGAGGGCTGCCAGAGAGGAGGCCTGCTGGACCAACTGAATGTTTCTCTTCAGCCACGTGAGGAAACAGGATAGATTCTGCTTTGAATTTTGAATACCTTTTTGAACAAGACCACAGCTATGAGGTGTTTGTGAAGTAAACACGTTCCACTCCTCAACAACATGGCTCACCCACCTGGCACCAGCCCTTGGCCGTGGGCAACTTCAGCGCCACGCCCAGGGTGGCCCCTGCGGGCTCCTGTTTGCTGGCCACTGGGCCCGGGACGCCCCGGCCCCGCTTCAGGGCTCACCCCCCTTTCGGGAACGACACCAGCAACCTCAGCTCACGTCAACTGGATTTACTTTGAGGGGAAGAGTAAGGTGAAAGTCATTTTGTTCCCAACTTTTAAACATATAAATGAATGGTATATTTTTTTGCCATTAAAACAATAAAATGTAAATGTTTGAAAATAGTATTTTTGGTGTTCCTCTGCTTCTCAAGGTTTAAGACACTCATTGTGGCATTGTCTTCTGCTCTGGAGGTCCTGAGGAGGTGTAGGGGCCAATTCAGAGAGACCACCACAAAATGAAGGATCATGAAGTGTGTCAGCAAAGCGGCCCTGCCACAGCAGAGGCCTGGGTCTCAGCCTGTCGGGGAGGGTCTCCCGCATGAGAGGGTCCACAGCGGGTCGCAGGTCATCGCACGGAGCTGAGCGGCAGACCAGATGTCACAGGGAACATGCTCCCTTCACCCCCAGGCCCTCATGCCCCTCACAGGGCCCTGCGGTGGGACCACTGGGCACACACGCCGCCGGCCCCTCATGCATCACAAGACGTTCAACCCACTCCTCAGACTGTCTCAAATGTGGACAGGGAGATGCCAGCACCACCACCGTCATCCCCTTGGTACCACTGAGGACACAGCTTCAGGGAGGGTAAGGAACCTGTCTCAGGTCACACAGCCTGATGTGGAGCTGGACCAAACCCAAGTCCTCCGATGACCAAATCTCAGGTCTTTCTGAACACTGACTGCTCTTTCCTACAGTCTGGGATTTCATATGAGGGCCGTAAAATGGGTCACCCAGTATACACGACATCAGGAGGGGCTTGACATGTGCTCTGATGGCAAACTCTTCTGATGCTCCTGCTCACAAGGCCACTTTAATGCCATAGTGAGGAGAGGCTGACTTGGCTCCGCCAGCGAGGCCCCCTCCCTGAGCCTTTCCGCACTGTCTTTCCCCAGCATCCCCCCCCTCCCCCGTCCTCACACCCCACCGCCCCTGACTGTGCCCCCAGGCCCTCTGACAGGTGCCCAAGCCCCTACCTGCCCAGTTGGAGGGGTGTGAGAAGGCCTTGCTGCTCTGCACCACCTTCATGGCCTCGCCCAGGGCCGCGCTGGCCTTCAGGCCATTCAGCAGGGACGAGTACAAGGCGTGCAGGAACATCTTGGAAGCAGCCACGGGCACAGGCCACAGAGACACGAGGACACACTGTGCGCCGGCCGCCAGGAATGCCCGCGTCAGCGCGATGACCCCGTCGGCTGTGACCTTGCTGTTGGACTCCTGGGAGGAGCCGAGAACCACCAGCTTCACGGGCAGCCGCAGGTCCAGGACGTCGGCGGCTGTGAGCAGCAGCTCCTGCAGCGGTGGGCAGTCTGAGATGCTCTCGCCATCGCTGGTGTCATCCTGCACCCGCAGGGACTCAGGGATGGTGTAGGGGTGGCCGAAGGAGCTCTTGCTGCCAGCGGGGGTGCCTTCCACACTGGGCGTGAGGACCAAGGCCGACAGTTTCCAAGAGATGTGGGTGGCAAAGTGGACGCACTCGGCCTGGGTCAGGGCGCTCATGACCCGCTCTTTGGTGGCCATGCTGCCCACCAGCGGCTGGCAGCCCAGCAGCTCGGACACCATGTAGGCCTCCTCCTCGGCTGACGGCATCGGGCCCCACAGCCACCTGTCCATCACCGCCGATGGGAGCTTGGGGTTGCCGACCACAGCCGCCATGGACGTGGAGCTGCAGTAGGCGGGAGGGTTCTTCCGCAGGTGAGACTGGAGGGGAGGGAAGACAGCGGGCCACCCATTAGGGCTTCTCTGGGGCAGGCAGATGCCAGCTCTCCAGCAGGGCTGCATCCAGCGTGGCTCCACCTGATCTCCTGATAACTTTGTTCACTCTACTTTTCAAGACCTTTTTGACACAGGTGCACGTCTGACTGAGAATCACACCTGCTGGTGACAAGCTCTTGAAAACAATGAGACCAGATAGAAGGCAGGAAGACCCCTTGACGTTTGTCAAGCCGGAGGGGGGTGGGACAGGGCATGTAGGAGGTGAGGGTGTGCAGGGCAGGATCACCTGCCCTACATCTCCCTCCCACAGGCTCCCCTGTGAGCCCCTAAATCAGGGGGAACCCACTCCTGATGCAACAGGGGCTCTGAGGGGTGATTTTGTTTAAACTTGCAAAAACCAAGTCGCAGGGGAGACAGGGCCAAATTAAGTCCTTTAGAGGCACTACAACTGGAAAGATGAATAACATCACTGAATTATAAAATCAGCATAAAGAAGCCCAACAAAGTTCTGATTTTCCCCTACGATGCCTTCTGATGTTTTTTGGGGAAAACGTCACGTATCAAATTATTTCAAAATAATTTTTTGGTGTTTCCACCTGGTGATGCCTTGAACTGGGAAAGAGAAATGCCTCTCGGGTGCCTGTCGGGAGACGGGACTCTTCCACTCTCTGGTTCATCACTGCCTCCCAGGGTGCCCTGGCAGCTGGAGAGGTGAGTCGACCCTCCGTGCCGGACGGCACACAGCGGGCTCATGGTTGGGATTCAGTCAACCATGGACATGAGGAAAACTTGGAGAAAATCATTTCTTTCACCTTGAACTGATTCTGTCCCATGAGAAGTACAATTCAGCAACAAAAACAGTCATAACTAAGTTCTCCAAAACCCGTGAGGCAGAAACTGACCTGGCTGGAACCATGCCAATGACCAAGGTCAACGGAGGCCAAGGCAGGTCCCGTGTGGGCTGCCCACGCCCAGGCCTGGGGCAGGAGTGTCGGGGCAGGAGGGAGCCCAGGTCTCAGGGTATCTGGGCGAGTTTAGAGAAGGGAAGAGGGCTCAGGGCTGGCTCCGAAGGCCCTCTAGGTAGGTGGGCAGCGCCAGGGGTGGCTGTGGGCTAAGCCCTGAACTGCGGCGGGCCACTGTCACCCCATTGAGTCCACAGAGTTCATCCCACACTGATTTTTGCTGAATGAGACCCAAGTCCTGAAAGCCACCCATTTGTTTTCGGTTCTTTGTCGGCCTGTGGGGCCCCTGCCCACTTGACGCTAATCCCATCTGTCTGCCCTCCGTGCCTGCGGCCCCTCTGCTGGGCACACTCGGCGCCCACTCAGCAGTCAGCTTGGCGGGTGAGTGCGGCCCCCAGGGCGTGACCCGCTTCCTCAGACAGGCGGCATGGCCTCCAGCCTGACTCAGTGCTGGGAGTAGCTCCCAACCCTGGTGTCACAGCAAAGCAACGCAGAGAGAAATGACACACATGGTGGCCTC